AGTGTGTCCTAATATCAAAGACAGTCGTTGCGGGCGTGAATTAATTACTTGTTATACGCCAAAAAGAGATGCAATGATGGCATAAATGTCTTCATAGTCTCAGTCTATCAAAGACAATCGTTCCAATATTTTATGTGTATTAGAGTGAAAGAAAATGGAGGACGTTTGTTGGGTATTAGTTTTAGACTATAGTTTGACTAGAGCATTTAAAACAGAGTTGACAGTCAGATTAAAATTTTAGCAGTTGTTTTGATCGCATCTCGGTACCTAACAGTTGGATATATTTTCTGAGCGTTGAAATGTCCATTTTTTTGCATATTTTCGTATCCAGTAACACCAGTATCAAAATTTGCGAGATATCCAGATTTTGGAATTGTCAAAATGACATTTCATTTATATGCAAACAGTGGCTAATTTGAATAGGATTTTTCGTCTTAGTTCATACGAATATTGCTTGTGACGCAATGGAAAAGATACAGCGGTTTTGGTATACCAGAAAAACTGTCCAAAAAGACTGCAGAGCACAGTTTCAGAAACTTGGCATTTTAACATTACCATGTACTTACATACTCCAGTGTCTTTTGTACGTAAAAGAAAATGACGAGATATCGATAGTGGCAATTTCTGATGGGATGCCCTGTGCCTACAAACTAATAGAATTTAAAAAATGAATATTGCAGGGATAGACTAAAATTCACTTGCTGTATTGTCGATGAAGCAACTCAATGCACTGAACCTGAGTCGTTGCTACCCATTCAGTTGGGAATTGAAAAAATTGTACTTGTTGGAGATCCCCAACAGTTACCTGCAGTTGTATGTAATAAAGTAAGTAACATTTATTAGTGTAGTTTTTTATTATCATTTTGAGGTTTACGATCATATTTATTGAGAACCACTGCAGCTTTTATTGCTACTCAAGAGCTTCTTTTTAAACAAATTAAATGCCGTCAAATTGTAAAATTAAAATGATCATATAGTACAGAAATAAAGTAAGATTTCTGTTTTGGTAGATAAACTCGCCTAAAAAAATTCACAAATGAACATGTCGGTTTTTTCCTGAAGTTTATAGCAAACGTCAAAATGTAAAAGAAAATTATCTGCCTTGTGCAGGGTCGTTTATATAGGGTGTTCCTTAATAATATGCAAATATTTAGGGGTGTGATTCTACATGGAAAATTATTGATAGTTTGCTTTATAAACTATGGTCCAAAATTGTTCCATTGTGAAAATAGGGGTGTTAAAATTTTAGGAAAAAGAAAGAAATTAATTGAGATATTTCACTGATATTTAGTACGTAGTGTTAGTTAATAAAGACGCATGTTTTTGAGTACGCCAATCCTCGTGCAATTCGAAAGATAAGAGCTCTCTTGAGTTTTTCTCCTGCGATGTGCCATTTTTGAGTAAAAAAATAAAATCCGTTGTATTGTCCGTAATTAATTAATGTAATTATTGAAGAATACAATTTTACAAAAAACCTAGTTGGCCTGGAATGTGTCACTGGCATTTGTGACATTTTGAAGTAAATATCTGTCGTTGAAATCTGTTCGCTGTGAATATCTTATTTTTACAATCTTGTTAATAATAGTGAATTATTCAAATGTTGAAATGGTGCAATAGTCCAGACAGTATCTGTTTCAAAATGTCCATATTTGGGTGAATCGTATATTCACTGAGATTTTTGACTTTTTGGCTTTCAAATGTCACTAGAAATGAAAATTTTTCTATGTGCATAAAAAAAATGTGGACTTAACTTTTGGCGGCACAATATGTTAAAAAAAATTCAAAGAATGTCATATTCATCTTCCTATTTAATTTTTCAAGAGTTGATTTTAGGCGAAAATAGATGAGGAAAAAAATGTTTGTAATTAAATTTTTTATAAAATATGACTAATTACAAATCGAATGAATCATGATATTACTGTAAAAATCGAAAAAATCGCCAAAAATCGGGTTAGAAACATTACTTTTTAGGGAATTTTTTTTGGGGTCTTTAAATTGGGTATAGGACCTTCATACTTGGCCCAAGAAAACTTCATGTTATGTAGAATCGTCACACCAAATTTCATCGAAATCGGTTCTATAGATTTTGCAATCCAGATTTTGAAAAAAAATTACAAATTTTCAAAATTTTGCACAACAAAAATCAAGGCCCTTAGATACTTGAAAAATTTAATCACATATAGAAGAGCTCAAGCTTTCAATCGCTTTTTGAAAAATTCGAATCCGTCAATTAGAAGAGCTCTGGCGCTTGTTTAAACATTGGTCGAATTTTTTGTACTTATAAACAATTAGAATAACTTTGTAAATATTCAGTCAAATCAAATATTGTTTATTGTTTAAAATATAAGCAAATGAGAAATTAACTCATTATATTACTAATTTTCGACATATTTTGAAAATTATTGTTATTGAAACAATTTTAGAATATTTAAATAATTTTGTTTTTGATCTTTGATAAGTTTACTTACTTACCTTTGATACAATAAAAAAATAGAGTTTATAATTAAAGGAAGTTTAAAGATAAATAATTATCAGACTGTTGAAAGACCAATAATTATTAACGATAGGCATTTGAAAATACGCTAATTGTTCTTTTTAACGCTCGCGACATGGATTTTAGAAAAAGAATCATCAAAATCGGATTTCTAGAAGCTGAGATATTAAAAATTTTTAAGCGCGGCGCGGTTTTGAATTCGCCGCCGCCGATTCAATTTCGAGCAGGCCGAAGCGGTCGCGCTCTCTGCTTTCCACACCACTACCACAAATAACTTTGAACATGTTTTAAAGTAAGTTGCCAATGAAGAAAAGTATTGCAAACTTAGACTTTCAAAATTTGGATTGCAAAATTATTATGCAAAATCTATCGATCCGATTTCGATGGAATTTGGTGTGATGATTCTACATACCTAACATTTAAAGACCCCAAAAAAATTCCCTAAAAAGTAATGTTTTTTAACCCCATTTTCGGCGATTTTTTCGATTTTTACAATAATAATCATGATTCATTCGATTTGTAACTAGTCATATTTTGTAAAAAATTTAATTACAAACATTATTTTCCTCTTCCATTTTTGCCTAAAATCAACTCTTGAAAAGATACATAATTAAATAGGACGAAAAATATGACACTTTTCTAATTTTTTTAACTTATTCTGCTGCCACGTTTTTTTTATGCGCATAGAAAAATTTTCATTTCTAGTGATATTTGAAAGCCAAAAAGCCAAAAATCTCCGTGGATATACGATTCACCCAAACCAAAACAGATACCGCCTAGTTTACAAATGCATTACGTGTATGGTCTCACCGACGGTAATGCAGAGCAAGTTAGACATATTATATTTATCATCAGAGATATCCCAATCGTGCGTTGCCAGATAGTTCAACCTTTTCTAATATTCATCGTCGTCTTGTTGAAACTGGTAGTTTCCGAAAACATCTGAAGGTAGACCTTGAAATGTAAGAACTCCTGAAATTGAGGGAGTGGTGCATCATGAAATGCGTCATACCAAGATCACTAGATATTTGAATATTTGCCACCAAATTGTTTGGAGAATTTTAATGATTTTTTTTATATCCGTATCACATTTTAAGAGTACAGGCATTACTTCCTAGAGATTTTATAAAGCGTGTGACCTTTTATCAGTGGTATCTTCATAATGTTGCGCAAAATCCGCAATTTGAATCACACATACTGTTCACGGACGAAGCTAATTTTACAAGAAATGCCATTCAAAATTTTCACAACAATCATTTGTCGGCGGATGCAAATCTACATGCCATAACGGAAACCCTTTTCCAACACTAATTTTAGGTCAACGTATGGGCAGGAATCGTTGGTGACCACTTTATTGGACCACACTTCTTGCCGGGACGACTTGACGGAAATTCTTCCCGCAATTTCCTTAAAAAACAATTGCCTTTGCTGCTTGAGGATGTTCCGATAGCAATAAAAAACCAAATGTGCCACATGCAAGATGGTGCACCAGCACATTTCAGTGTAATGATTCGCAATTACAATCTGTTTGTCCAAATCGTTTTATTAGCCGCGGTGGGCCTCAAGAATGGCTATTAAGTCCCCCGACTTCAATAGTTTAGATTATTTATGGGGCTACCTTAAGGCGCTAGTGTAGGTACACAAGTCCCAATAATACTGTAGAGGAATTAAGAGAAAGAATAATGCAGTATGTGATAGAATAAAAAATACTCCGGGAATATTTCAGCGAGTGCGCAATTCCATGAGAAGGAGGGCGGAAACATGCATATTAAGTGAAGGAGGCCATTTTCAACAATTTTTGTAATAATAGCTTGATATTAGCTGTAATGTTATTTTAATGTTGTATGTTGCTAATTGTTGTTGTTCATTACAAGCAGGTGCCAACCTGTAATGTTTAATTTTTGCTATTAAATTATTAATAATTCTGTTTTTTTACTCAAAAACGGCGCATAGCAGGACAAAAATTCAAGAGAGCTCTTATCTTTCGAATTGGGATTTCAAAAATAATGTTATTTGGGAAAAAATCAATGGCGTACCATTTTCTTCTTTAAAACTATCAAAGTCAGTGCTCGTACGCACGCCACTGTTAGAGCTAAAAATTATGTTTATATTGAAAAACATGCGTCTTTATTAACTATCACTACGTACTAAATATTACTGAAATATTTCAAGCCATTTCAAAGATATTAATTAATTTCCTTCTTTTTCCTAAAATTTTAACACCCTGTATTTTTGCAACGAAACATTTTTGAACCATAGTTTATTATCAGACTATCATTAATTTTCCATGTAGAATCACACTCTTAAATATTCGCATATCATTAAGGAACACCCTGTATATTGTTATTGTAAGCTTATCTCCATATTAGTTCTTAAGAAAATGGTTCACCAAAAGTTGCATTATTATTTTGAACATATTTTTAAAAATGATAACCGAATAGCATGTTAATACGATATAACCTGATTTATGATTACGCAGCCCCATAAAAAAAGGTTCTGTACCAGAGACATGAATGAGTACATAGAGTTTGTGGATTTTGTTTATGCTGATTCCGAATCCGCATCCCAAAAATCGATTTACGGGGTACTTTTTTTAGTAAAATGCTAAAGTATACTTACCCTAAAATATAGTTAAATGGTGAGGATCAGGTAAAGGTTTATAATGAAAAGCAAGAATTTGTAAATACTTTGAGAAAACATTTCAAAATAATATTTTGAGCATTGGAAAGAAATATATTCAAATTATATCCACACCTACCCCTACAAGGGGGTTAATTCCGCGCGTAAGTTCAAATGACAAATGTTAGTGCAAAACCTTGGATTTTTGTCTACCGAATATATAAATGTAAGTTGAAAGACAACGTACCAAAAAAATATAATATAACTTATCACTCACAGGGTTGGAAACTGCCTACAGACCACTGTCCCACTTTCCCCTTTAAGTCACACATTTTTCTATTCAATATTTTTGCCTCAATTTTGTTACCGTGGGTTTTTGGTGTCGCTGATTACGAATCCGAAAATCCGGAATAAAAGATGGCGGATCCAATATGGAGGATGTATAAATCTGAAAAGCATTCAAAATTTGAGAAGATTATTGCTGAAACTTGTTACTCGGTGGTTTTTAAAGTCGCCAATCACGAATATAAGGTATTAATTCGGAAATTCTTAAATCCAAAATGGCAGACCCATTATGACGGATTGAAAAGTACCACAGAAATTGAGTCATTTAAGTAAATACAGGCAAATGTCTCAAGATGAGAAACAAAGAATATAAATTCGACTTTCAGTGTACTGTCTCTTTCAAATACTTTTACCAGTGCCAACAGGGAGTGATAACACCATACGCTTAAATGGGAAATATAAGACGCACAAAATGAGTTAAAAATATAAATTTGATCATTTAAGTAACAAAACGTCTTAACTAAAGGGGCGTAGTTTTTTATCTCTATAAGTGCCATTTAGAATTTAGTTAACACCCTCCATATTGTAGTTATCCAGTGCCTGCCCTCGAAACGCCTTTAAAAAATTGATATTATTTATTATTAAACTTTTATTCAGCAACTGATGGTCTAAATGCTTCTGTTTTTGAGAAAATTAATTAAGAAAATTTACCATAGATGTAAGCCGACCGTGCGCATCTTGTGCACGTGCACGATAAGAATGCTTCTGACGCGCTACATGCGTGAAGTGCTTCTCTAATTGACTGGCGTTCCACGTGACTTCCACAATCAAGCAAATCTTATGGTGGGTCAGTATGTTTTGTGTTCTTTAGTTGTGTGTTACAGTATTACTTAGCCGGCATATAAAATGATTTCTAATCAAGAACTAGCAGATATGGTGTTAATGTACGGAGAATGTCGGTATAGTTTCATTGAGATTTGTTGTTTGTATGCGGTTCGTTACCGTAGCTGACGACAATCTAACAGTAGAACAGTGCAAAAGGTTACGCGATACCCGGAGTTTCCACCTGATATGAAGGGAGAGGATGGGAAAGGCCAAAACATGTTTTCGATAGGAAGAAAACATCATAAACCTCGTTGGCCATGAAGTGCGTGTATCTAACAATAGCTTGTGGCGTGTACTACGGGAACAATTATTACATCACTATCACGTACAAAGGGTTCGGGCATTAAATAACAACTAGAAAGGTAGGCAAGTCCGCTCACGCGGACTTGATCTTTCTCTCGGGCTATCTCGGTTCCAGCAACGGTTTTCAATGCATATGTGGTGTGGTGTTTTTGGTGACATATTACTCGATAATGTTACCTGCACGTTTAAATGGTGCTGCTTATTGAGAGTTTTTAACAAACGCCTTACCGGATTTGTTGTTTACAAATTCGTGCCCATATGTTCTTCATGTTCCTCTCCCTATGTATCTCGTGCAGTTTGTGAAATTTTACATATCAATTTTCCGGAAAGTTGGATAGGACGAAATCACAATGATTGTTGGTCAGCACGAAGTTCGGACGCCTTTTGTCGATGTAGCTTATTTTTGCTGCAGCTAATGAAATTCGACAAATGCCAGGAGCATTTGCACGTATACGAACTAATTTTGACCGTTGTTCGGAAGCAAGTTCGACCAATTTTTGTAGAGCATATCGTCTATTGGTAGGCAATTTGTTTATTCGTTTAATTTTTGTGTTACTTTTAAACGAAATTTGAATTAATTTCAGCATTTTCGAACACAAAATTTAAATCGTCAAAATCGCCATCCAGCGCTTTCGTCAAAACCGCCATCCAGCGCTTTCGCACTGCGACGCGCGGCGAACTTCAATGTCAGACTTGTCAGAGGTACAGCTGGCTGCAGCAGTAGAGTCGGCTTTAAATTTGTTTAAACCTTCTTTTGAAATTTGTTTTTTTTTCAATTTAAAACGTAATGTTTTAGATTTAGACCATCAGTTGTTTAATAAAAGTCCTCATTTTCGTACCCTCCATCACCCTTTTCAAGAAACACACTTATTTCAGAAACACCCTGTATATTATGAGCATTATGAATTTGATATTTGAATAAAACTTTTAAAAATTAGAAAACATTAGATTAATAGGAACAACTTAATTCTACTCCCTTCAAACAAAAGCCATCGTGTCATAGTACATTCTTATATTGATAGAATATGCAAAAGGATATAATTAATTTAATAATAATTTAATAAATAATAATTTGCTAATATTTTGTAATTATTGTATGTATTATAGTTTCGTTAAAAATTTCAAATGAAACAATTGTTTTAAGGAAGCTCAACAACTAGGATATGGAAGATCTTTGTTTGCTAGAATAGACGAAAATTTCGCGAATGATGTTAACAGTCCGATAAGGATGTTATGTGAACAATATCGAATGAAGAGTGAAATATGTGAATACCCAAATAAGACATTTTATAATGGAAAATTGAAATCATTTCCCATACACATTAATAGGGTTATACCGGAATTAAAACCCTATTTGTTGTTTAACATTCTCAATACCGAAAATGAGGATGAATCGCCATACAGGAATTCTCAGGAAGTCGGACTAATTTATAGCCTATTAGGAACATTAAAGAAATTCATTAAAGCTAATTGTAAATACACTATTGGCATCATCACTCCATATAGAGCTCAAAAAGAATTTCTTTTGGGACAGATAGCCGGAGTCAAGTAAGTACCTATTTTTATATTTTTTGAATATGTATGCTCAAAAAATTAAAAATTTTGATAGCCCTTAATACTTTCATAATTTTCTCTAAGTTGAAGTTAATACTTTGGTTTCACTTCATTTTATTTCTTTTATTTCTTTATTTTTTTTATTTCATTTTTCTTTAACTTGTGTTTTTTTAACTTGCATTTTATTATTTTGTTATTTGTTTTAATTCCGTCTGTTTTTAATACCCATTTTCATGAATTTATAATATAAAATACAGGGTGTAAATTTAAGTGGAGGCCAGTTTTTTTTAGGGGTAATAGTACGTGTTCCCCTGAATACGAATCTGAAAATATTTTTTTTATTCAAATAAATAGACTAGTTATAATTAGTTTTTTAAAATGCACTTTAATACTTGTGTACACCGCCACTGTAATAATGAATTACAAATACATGAATTGTAGGCAACTTACAGTGCATGTGAAGGGAGATAGTGCGGGTCAATGGTGACGAAGCGAAGGGCGTCAGTTTTTCCGCGTTTGGAAACGGTACATCTAACCGTGAATTTGAATGTTTTTCATCACTGGAAGCCATCAACAGACTATTTATTTTTGTGTATTTCATATATCATTATTGATTACTATCCATATTACTTTTCAACATTATCCGTATAGTTCTGATAGTCATATCAAATCTCTGCATCACCAACTATATCGTATTCAGTTTATCGATCTTTCCTCTATAAAGGTCAGGAATTGCGAATTTAAATGAAACTTCACCTTACTTCCTCGATATCCACAAATGCAGTTTATGAATTAATTGTCTGGCCTACTCAGATGTCAGTCACTCAGATCTTTCTCGTTTCTGCCATATTCGAAAATATTTATTCTTTTTTTTTATCAACAGATTAGTCGGTATTACTCCGAAAAAAAAATGGAAAACCTTGGATTTATAATACTCAATATTTACACAGGGTATATACGAGTATAACGAATGTTACATACTTCTAGGGTATAATCTAGAACCCAAATGGTGTCGATTTAACCAAACTTGCTTAAACGAAAAATGTCGCAAAAAGTTACAGGGTATTAGTTTCTTTTTTATTTCTTGTTTTCTCCTTAAGTCAGAACCCAGATAACCGATTTGAGTAAAATTTGCTGTTGCTTAGTTTCTCTTCATGAAGTGATTATGTTCCTATTAGGTTAAATCATACAGGGCGTTGATTTTACTACAACCCTTTGTGAATATTCTTCTGTAACTTTTTTTTACGTTTAAATTTATACATGCAACTATCAGAAATAGGTAGACAACACAAAGAATATATACCTATCAAAAGTCGAAATTATGCTCGGGTATGAAAATATTACAGACAATATTTATTAATATTCCATATTTTTGGAAATTCTAGATTATACCCTTGAAGTATGTAACATTCGTTAGGTGACATCCTGTATAAAAATTTAAATATTTTTTAGATTTAATGAAAATGTTACAGTTACTGTCAATACTGTTGATAGTTTCCAAGGAATGGAAAATGATGTTATAATCATATCTTGTGTCAGATATGCTCCCAACAATTTTTTACAAAATGAACAAAGATTAAATGTAGCACTGACGCGGGCTCGTCAAGCATTATACATCATTGGAAATTATTCATTGTTTAAGGTAAGAATTGAAAATTTTCTATAGACATTCTTTATTTATATAAATATTTTTTAGCATTGTCAGCCACTGTACGATTTACGTGAAGATGCAAAAAAAAGAAGATTGTGTATTGATATTAAAGAGTTTTGTAAAAATATTGACTTTTCCAAATTTATATTTAAATTATAATTTTAAGTTTAGTTTTTAATTTCTGTTGCTTTGTTGTTGTTTTCACAATGTTAAATATATGTTTTTTCTTAATTAATATTTTTTCATTTGTAATAATTTAGTTGTATTTATACAATTTTTTTTTGTTGGATGTTAGATGTTTTTCGTCAGATTTTTATCATATTTTTATGGTTCAATCCGGCGAGAGTATATTGAATTCTATTAAATTTTTACATTTCAACTATTGCAGTCATTATCCAAAAAATCATTATTGAAATTGAGTAATTTGTTTAAGAAATGGGGGCGCATGAAATACTGACTTGGTGAATTACCAGAATCTTTACCTATTAACTTATCTGTGATATTTGAACTGAAATAAGAATACATTTTTAATTATAGTAAGACTGATAGAAAGATTATTACTTATATTAACAAGGCCACAGCATCTTGCACGTGGCGTGACAGATTTGTTTGAATCAATAAAAGTCATGACATAAAGGGTCCCCTAAAATTCAAGGAATTTTGATAAAAAACAGGTTTTAATTAAAAATTGTAATTTTTTAATTGATTCGTAAATTATACAATATAGGGTTATGTATGGAACAGCATATCGAGTAAGTGGTCTCCACGGTTTTGCTGGTAACTACATACGCACTCTTATCGCGATTTTCCATGACCGTTTTGCATAAATGCGGCTGAATTTCGTTGATACAGCGCTCAATTTCCTCCTTTAAAGCATGGGTTGGCATAAAACTTAGACTTAAAAAAAACCCAAAGAAAAAAGTCCAACGGCGTTAAGTCGCATGATGTGAATGTCCAATTCTGATGAAAACGAGAAATTACACGGCCAGGAAATGACTTCTGCAGTGATTGAATTATTTCTCCGGTTGTATGGCATGTTGCACCGTCCATATCTTTCAATTTAGCACAAATACTGGATTATCATGTCGGATAGTGAGCACCATTAACTGTTATTGCCTGACCAGCCGCCGAAGAAGATGCCTCTAACGTGACACACGAATGCATTTGGTTCTCAACAATAATTGTGGATTTTCTGAACCCCAAATGCGACAATTTTGTCGATTAACAAAGCCATCAAGATGAAAATGAGCCTCATGGCTGAAGATGTTCGAAAACTCAGCATCCACTTGTTCCATAATCTATTCAACGACCATTCTTCGTTCTCCGTGGTCAGTAGACTTCAGTTCTTGAGTCAATTGAACTTTGTGAGCATGAAGATGAAAATCTTTCGTGAGAAAACGCTGTAGAGAGCTTCTCGAAATGTCCAGTTCTTAACCGAATTGATGTTCCTGGACTCTCAGTAACACTCACAAACTGCTTGGATGTTTTTTCGTTGAACTTGTTGAAGAACGGTCAGTGTTTAAGACATGGATTTGACAGTCCTATACTATGGATGTAACCGCGCCATTATTCCATGGATAGAAATTGGCCTCAATGATTTGAGATCGAGGGGGATTATCCCTCTTTATCCTGCCTCATCTCGTGTAGACTTGGACAGCTTTCGTAGGTGGGGCCCATCCGTCGTCTACCCCGACCGCAAATGCGGCCGGTGTAGGCGCTTTGTGGGACCTCCTTTTGTCCTGGTTGGGCCTTGCCGGCTAGGGCCCTTTCTTCTGGCGCTCTTCTTGCTTCGCCGGCTCGTCTGTGTAAACCTCGGGGGTGGTGTCATGTTTATGTGTGGTATGGTTGGGTAGGGTAGTGCGGCTATGCAGCCTGGGATGCGCTTTGCTAAGGTGGCCCTTAGGCTAGCGCGGGAGGGGAGGGGTAAGGAGGGTATGGGGGGTGTGTATGTGTGTGTGTGTGTGTCGTTGTCTTCGTTTCTTGATCCTGGCTGTCTCTGAAACAGAAAAGGTTAGCGGGCAGGGGGGGGGTCATTGGGGTGGTCACCCAGGGTCAAAAAGTTGGTGTCTAGGTCTTTTGTGTTTGTCGGTCACGTCGGGTACGTAGTCAACGGCTTGCCTGAGGAGGGGATTGTCATGTCTAGCGGCTACGTCAAATCGTTTCTCCGCGTTTTGTCTTATTGTCTGTGTAGCGTTTGTGTATTGTAAGTCTCGTAATATGTCAGTGTTTCTTACGTACCAGGGCGCGTCGGTGGCCGTGCGGAGGGCTATGTTTTCCACAGCCTGTAATGACTTTAAGTGGCTTTTTGCCGCGTGACCCCACGCCGTGGAGGCGTAGGTTAGCTGCGGTTGAAGTACCACCTTGATAAGCGTTCGCTTATTCCTTAAACTGAGGGTGTTTCCACCTTTGAGTAAGGGATAGAGCCTAGCCCTGGTGGTCTTTGCTTGCGCCACCGCACCGTCTCCACGATGTGCGGTTTCCACGTGAGACGCTGGTCCATCGTCACGCCCACGTATCGTGTTTGTCGATTCCAGGAGATGGGTTCCTGGGATAATGGATGTAACCAAAACCAGAGCCGACTTTCTGTGCATTGTAGCTGTTCCAACATGAACTGCAAAAGTGGCAACGATTTGTCTAAAGTCACGTGATAAAATCGTGCGACACTGATTTAAAAAGAAACTATTTCTGATTAGGAAATTGACTTTTTTTTGGTAGAAACACAAACAAATAAAAATTTACAGTAAAATATATATGTAAAATACGCAATAACACTTAATATTACGTAATGAATATAATAAATCAGCTTTGATAAGACTGCATATGCCCTAAGTCACGTGACGCGAGACTAGTTTCTCTCACTACATCTTGGCCCCTTACCTCTCTCTACATTTCATCCTAGTCCATAGTATACTGTCAAATCGATGGTTTAAGATCACTGATTGATCCAGCTTTCTTGAATTTTTCAACTAATCTGTTCACAGTTGAAGTTAAAGCACTATTTCGACCATATTTTGTACGAAAATTTCGAACTATAGTGCTAAACCTTCATTATTTTTAAAATATTGCTCAACAGTGAAAACGTGTTGTTATTTCCTGCGGAGCTCCATTTTTAATAACCTTGAATTATCAGCTGTCACTCTATCTCTTTTTTCGTTGGCAACACTTTACTGCACAAATGGCGCAAAATTCAAATCTTCTGTGAGTACGCCCGATAGATTTACGTGTTAAAAATTCAGCGAGATGAAAATTTATTATCTTGATAAAGTACATATAACCGATTTCAGAGGTGATTTAGTCCAATAACCAAATAAGTAAGTTAAAAAATTAAGTTAAAATCGTGTGAAATTTCAATTTCAATAGGATAATAGGATAGGATAATAATTAATTAATACAATTTTAATTGATTTATAAGTAAAACTTTGAATGGGGGCTGTCACGGAATTTGATTGGTCTCGGTTTCCTCCAGAATTAAGGCCCCCGCTTGTTCGCCTGGTTGCGCTAGAAGATAGGTGGGTTGTCGATCCACGGTGGCGGACCCACGTTGGGCGCCACGATGCGGATGTGCCTCATTCTGGTTTGCCCCCGGCTGGTGAGACCTGTCAGACTGTCCCCTGGATGTCCCCTTAGCGGGATGGTAGTGTCCAGGGTCTTTCTTTACTTCCGGTGCGAGTGCGGTAGACGCCTGCTCGAGGTCTGGAGAGTTCCCTGGCATCTCGTTTCTTTCCCTCTTGACATATGGCCCTGCGACTATCAACGAGGGAAAGTAAGATTTCCTATCCTCCGCCATCGTTTTGAGTTCGAAGAGCTCAGGCCGTTGGAACACATCACTTAATTGGTTTTCCGCACTTGGAAATGTTTGTTTGGTTTTTTGCACTTGGTTAGGGTCTGATACCCTATTATTTGAAAATCACTGTCCTTATTCACTAATTCACTAATGTTGCACTGTGTACAGACTCCGTAGAGCGCCGATACGCGAGCTTTGAAAGGTTGCGTTTCAGCGGTTAGCTGAGAACGTCGAGCCGAATGTGGGTGTATTTTTTGTTTATACTGAGAAATAATAACTCAAGAATGGTATATAGGTAAGATTTATTCAGATTTAAATTTGCATACAGCAATCAGCGGTTTCTATTCAATTTATTGGATGTCGAATCAAGTCACACTCTTCACCAGGTACAATGCCCTGGCTGAAGAATTGCAAATGTCGCGGGTGCACGTTCATTCGTAGAGTGGATTCCGGCAGAAATTTTACTGTGGAGTCCGGTTTAGTAGCATCAAAATTTGGGGCGCGACATTGGTACTTTTGCTTGATCTGGTTGGGTTGTTGTAGTTAGTTATACAGGGTGATTCAGAACTTATCAAAAAAAAATTCTGGATNTTTTTACACTGTTCAGATCCTTCTTTTTTTTGCATGGTGGTTACTAGTGTTGAGCGTTTTAGCTGATGGATTCTAAATATGGTCGATTTTAGAAGAGATAAATGTGAAACTAACATCTCATCGGTTATACAGGGTGTTTATAAATAAGTGCGAAATATTTTAAGGGGTGGTTGCCGAAGTTATTTTGTGAAAAAGTTCTTATAAACGTAGGTCGAAATTTGCTTCTTTTCCGAGATACAGTGTTTAAATTTTTATTTTTATTAATTATTTCAAAGACTTTTAAAGATATTGATTGCACCAGTGGCGTTTGTGCGAGATTGCCACAAACTTTTTTAATAAAAAAAATGGTAGGTACCCCACTGACTTTTCCCGTTTTGATTTTTTTGTAGAAGTCCGCCATCTATTCTGAATGAAATTGGTCTCTTCAATTTTTTTCGTAGGATGCACCGTTTTTATGGGTTATGTTAATCGTTTATTTAAAAGTGCAAGTAGAAATATTCGGATCATCTCAAAAAACGTACATTTATCTCTCCAAAGTGTTTTGCAAATTTCTAGTCAATATCTTTAAAACTGAAATAATGAATAAAAATAAAAAAAATTAATATTCGAACACTGTATCTCGGAAACGAAGCATATAGCTTTAGCAACCACCCCCTAAAATATTTTGCACTTATTTACAAAGACCCTGTATATCACATATACCAAGAAGTTACAATAACAAAGCCCTAAATAAAAATTTAACGAGAATGGAAAAGTACAAGAAAGAAAAGCTTTATTTAAAACAGACATGCGAATCGTAGGCG